CAGGCCCGACGACACCCTGACGACACACGATGTCAGAACGAAGTCAGAAGGAAGTCAGACGATGTCAGGCCATCACTACGGGCAGGCTCTCCTTTCAACACCAATCTCGGAGATTGCACTTCCTCCCATTCCTTTCTCTCAACACACGCCCACGTGTTTCGCAGATGCACGCGAAAGGGAACCCTTCTTTCCTTTCCTCCCCTATCTTTTTTCCATTCAAACCCGGCCCAATGTTACAAACCTACAGCGGACACACCGCCCCCCTAACCTATACTTACAGCGGACACACCGCCACTTATAACCTCAACTGCGGTCTCTCACAGCCATCTATAGATCGAATTCGCCTGCAGCGGGTACACCGCCCAACAAACGCTTTTCACCCTGTTCATATAGGGCTCTCTGTCTGTGTCTGTATGTGTGCGTAATGATGTTCACGTCTATAGAATTTCTTTTATGTTTGCAACAGCCCACAAAAAACAAACTACAGAATGAAATATCTTATGAAACTTTGCCCACTCAACTAACCCTCAGCAATTTCATATCAAGGGGCTGTAATGTTGACATTACGCTGTAGACTGCTGATTCCAGCGTTTTCATCAAATCCACACACAAAAACCTTAAACAAATCAACTTTTTCATGACATTTTTAAGAAAACCATGAAAAAAACCTTGAAAAAATTAGGTTTTTGTAAGTAGGCTAAGTGCGCCCCTAAGTAGAATAACTAGGTTTTCGCTTCCGTACTATTCCGACTTATAACTGACTTATAAATGACTTATTATTTTTGTATATACACTGTATCTAGCGTAAGTCTGGCCGAATACTTATGGACACTTAACCCATTTACCATCACATATAACCTTACATATCCACACATATAACCTTACATATCCAAACATATATCTACGATATGTAAGGCGGACTTTGTGGTAGTATTGTTGTACGGCCCTCCTTGGTGAGGGTGGGTGCGTCACGCTCCACCTCGCAAAGTCTCGGGTCCATAAATCTTAGCGATTTCCTCTAACAGTAACTCTTTAGATCTTGAACACGTTGATTCTCTACCATTACTACGTGAAATTCAACCATTATACTCTACCCTTATTATGGTGCTACTCCACCTCAAAGTCTACTCTTATTTTTGTTGTGTTTGTTGCGAGTCTACCCTTATTCTTGTTGAGAGTCTAGCCTTATTTTTGTTGAGAGTTTACCCTTACTTTGTCGCACATAACTGTGGTAAATACCATTTGTTTGCAGCACCACTTCCGATTTGTGCCCGTCACCTGATCGGTGCTCACCTGAACTTGCTTCTTTGCTTCCGCTGTGCTGTTTAAGTTAAATCAGATGTTTTGTCATTTGTTTGCTAACTTATTTAGCTTATTTTGGGTGGGAGGTTTCAAAAAACACAGCACTGTCATCGTGCTATGCAACCACGAATTGAAGACAAACCGAAGACAAACAAAAGCAATGCTCTGTGGCCACTGTTTTTCTCGACCACCATGGTGACAGCCACTAGCGTCTCAGGCGCAATCCCCCAAAGCGCTGAAGCAAATGGCTGCTTCTTTCAGTGACCTTTCAGGTCACTTGTTGGCGACATCGACATCATCTAACCTACATCTACTTTCCGGCTGGCTTTCCCTGGATGATCAAATTGCATCTTTTGACCAGGTAGGGCCTGCACTGGAAACCCTTACGCTGCACACCTTGCAAAGCTCGATGCACTAAACCTTGGCGAGTTTCGCCGGTTTGTAAATCTCGACAGAGTGCTTGAGCAAGAGTAACGGACCCAATGGTAGATCCAACGAAAGGAAGCTTGGTAGCAGCATCTAAGAAACCAGACATATCTGCCGCAGCGGCCTTTGCCCACTGAGCAGCATCTTGGAAAACATCAACGCTATGGCAAAGAGACCCTAGCTTGCTCACACTGTTTTTGGCACTAGTGAAGCCACTCTCGCCCTGGGAGCACAGAACGAAGAGCTGGGCAGTGCGTGGGTCTGTACAAGCTTTGGAAACCATCACTGGCTCAATGTCCTCGCTCTCAAACATCTTCACGAGATCATAGTCTTTGGCAAGTCCATCAAGAGTGGTTTTGGTGAGTGCTTCAACCTTGGTCATATCCTCGCGAATCACATTCACCATACTCTTGAAAATGCCGTTCAAACGCTCCTTGCAATTCATGAAGACCTTCGTGCCCGGCTTGTACTTGACGTGTTCCAAGCATGTGTCAATTGAGACAAGGCATTTGAACAACATTTGCAAAGGTTCGAACCCATTCTGCAGCATGAACTGCATTGCTGTCTTCTCGAGCAATTCCTTGCCTTCCTTTTGGGCAGTGGGGAGGTTGTCTGCAACCGTAGGCAACTTGGACGCCTGCTCCACAACCTCCTCCAAATAGAGAATCTTCTTTGCCAGAGGTAGAAGAGACGAACCGAAGCATACCGCAGAACAAGGCAGAGACACCTCAGCGCCAGAAGCATCCTTAACCTGCATCACTTGCTTGTTCTCGTCCACCTTCTCAAAGAAGAGCTGGAAAATGCGGGAGTACATGTCGCCCTGGACCTCAACCTCGTTTGCATCTCCAAACTCTCCCACCACTTTCTTCGATAGCAATCCATTCACGTCCACCTCATCCATGCCGCAGAGGCAAATGAACTCCGCCACAAGCTTTCCGAATTCTTGGCAAGAACAGCTTGAGCACCGAGACGAACTTTCTCCCTCAAACGCTCCTCAGTTGATCATGGTTAATAATGTAATATCATCGAATCATATCATATCACATTTATATTTGCCAGCATATTTTTTAATATCGTGGTCATATTATCGTAGTCTATAGTCTATAGTAGTCATAGTGTCATAATCATCATAATTGATCGTTTCGTCTGCAGCTAAGTTGAACAGAAAAAGGCCCAACCGACGAGAAACACATAGGTTCAAGTTCAAGTCTTTACCGAGTTTCTGCAAGCACCCTGACGGAAGCCACAAGCTTACCAATTTGGAGCAGCATGGCATCATTTGACAAGTGAGACATGAAGTCTTCCAAGGCCTCATTCAATAGCCCAGAAGGAACGATCTCCTTTGGCTTGGCTACCAAAGAGACCAGGCTCGGGTAGGCGGCCTTGAAGCTGGCGTAGAAAGTCTTGTTGTCATTCATGACCACCTCGAATTTGGAATAGCGCTTTTCGCCCAAAGCTTTGAGAAGAACCGTCTTGGAACATGGCAAGAAGCTTGTGCCTGCCAAATCATTCAAGCGATTGCTCAACGCCATGACGGCATCAGCGCTCGGATCCACCTTGCCCTCAATAAGAGCATCGAAGGCTTGCTCAATGAAGGACCCATGCTTCCTCGCGAACTTGATGGATGTGGCAGAGTAAAGCGCGCTCACGACCTCAAGCATTTTGCTTTCAAGCTTCCTGATATCGTCCTCCCTTTCGGCCTTCAGCCGAGCAGACGCATTCTCCTCTAGCAAGCAAACTTTCTGCGCCAACTCCGCCAGCTTGTTGTTGTTTGGGAGGACAAATTCCACATCAATTCCACGCTCTCCATTGGCTGTCTCACCACTGGGTTTGTCTTTGAGAAGCAAATCAGCAGTATAGGTTTTCAAGCCATCACAAATCTCCAGGGCTACGTCAATATCACCACTCAAGCCCTTGTCAAAGTAGCTGGCAATCATATCAGCTGCAGACTGCTGGATAAACATCCCCACAGGAAACAGCGTCAAGGCATCGTGAAAGGTGCCCTTGTCCTTGGACTGGATCAAAGTGGAACGAGCTTCCTTGATTTGGTCAATGCTGTCTTGACTCAAGGATTCATTAGCTGGCTTCAGCACGTGCTGGCAAAGCAGGGCAAGCTTTAGCATTTGATCCTTGGCCTGAGCAGCTGACTCTTGCCAATCCTTGGAGATATTTGAACCAAAGAAGTTCTCAATTCAGTCGTGGACCTGCTTCGTGAGTGACATCCCCAGCTTGGACGTAAGTGCCTTCTTCTCCTCCTCATACTTTTTGACCGCATCCTTGTCATCAGGTGACCCATCAAACGGCTTCTGCTCAATCTTCAATTCTTGCATCAGCATAGTCTTCAAAGAAGATGTCATAGACGATGCCTGGAAATCAAAGATCTCACTCGTGTTTTGCGCGTCAAAGATCTTCGCAAGGCCGGTGTCAATGTCCAAGTCGCGAAGGTAGGCTGTCCAGTCCGAAGCCTTGGCCAACTCCTTCAACTTGCCAATCTTGTCAGCACTCGAAGGAATCACCATACTCTCCAAACGAGCAGCTTCCATGGTTTGCTGTAGAGTCTGCGATGAAGCCTCATTGTCGTGAAGTGCGGCAACGAATGAAGCAATGGCAGAGGCTTGCTTTTCTGCTTGAATCGTTCGTCTGAGCAATTCAATGCCAACTGCGTTGGCACCTTGTTGCGTGGCTTCCCGGTAGAGCTTCTGCATGGACTCCGTGTTGCGAGCTGAAATCTTGTCCAGCACTGATTGGGCTTTGCCATAGTTCACAGACAGGAAGCTAGCTTCGTTGGACACACTGGTCTTGAGGTCCTCAACCTGTTGAATAGCCCTCTCTGTGATGTCAAAGTCCCGAGAATACTCAGATGCTTTTCCCTTCACCTAATCTGATCAAATGCCCGCTAGCAACCCCCCTACCTGAATTGCCCTCTCCACCACCAGCAGCCCCACAGTAAACCATAAAAGATCTTGGACTACGGGCCACACCACCCCAAAAAAAGAAACATCTCATATAGCCATCATCAAAACAAGCCACTGCCTTGACGGCGCTGAGATTGCTGTTAAACATCCAGCTAGAAGAGAATGCACTTCGTGATGCACTGGCAGCACTGTCACCTGCCGCAGAAGCATTGTCGTTTGAATCTTGGCCTCCTGAAGCAGTGGACCTCTGGCCATCTTTAGCCAATCTTTGCCGCTTCGGTTTGGGATCCTTTTGTCTGTCATCAGAACGATTCCGATCACCTGCCTGGCCACTGCCCTCGGCACCGACTATGAAGGAGACCCCCCAAAGATCTGCAAAGGATTCCTCGCCCTCCTCGGTCTGTAGCTTGATCTTCTTGGAACACTTCAGTTGCATAGTGCCAGGATCGTCCTCATCGGTCTCAACAGTTGGCTTCACCTGGAAGGGCATGGTTGGGAGTAGCATGGTCAAACAAACAAATTGGTATATATCTATAGTGTAGTATTAAATTATATAATATATATATAATATAAAAGCACAACATATATATTATATATTATATATATAGTAGTCATAACAGTATAACTACCCAATCTACCAATTGAAAAGATTCGCAACGGCATCCTTTCAAAACCTGCCAACCCATGGTCTTTGTTTCCCAGCGCCTGATTGGACAAAGCATTCCAAGCTGCATCAGCATCTGCCTTGTCATCACCGCTACAAACATCATGTCGACGAACAGCGCTGTGGCTGGAGTCTTCGTAGACGTCGATTGCTCCAAGGATCCACTTGTCTCTGAGCATTCCTGAAATTGGTTTGTTCATATGAACAATGGTCGTAGCTTTGCTTTTCTTCCACAAGCTCTCCTCGCCATGCTTCTGCAGGAGCTCTTTGGTCCATAGGTATCCTTTGAGCTGCCTCGTGGTCAACGAGTTCTTGGTCTCAGCCTCCACAGAGTTCGAATTGTGTCGAAAGCGCTTGCCTTCCCGGCGGTTGCTTTCCCATTCATCGAGATCTTTGGTGTAGGCCTCGAAGTTGCTCTCGACCTGTAGGTGCACCAAGAGATCCTTCCGGCTCATTTCTTTGTACTTTGGGTGGCTTTTGCAGAAACTGCTACAAGGAACGCACTCAAGCATAGAACCAAGCTGCTTGTGAGAAGATCCCCAGACTTGGGGTTCTTAACCATAGGATTCGGTGTCCGTTCGAAATTCCGGCGGCACTTCTTGCAACTGCCTCCACACGGCATGGAAAGCGCAAGGAAAATATCTGGGATTCGAATTTGCTTCACACAAAATGAGAGCCAGTACGTACTGAGGGGATCTCGCATTCGATGACACCAAAATGCGTTTGCCCAAACACATTTGAATGCTACATCTCTGCAAATCACTGTCCACTTGCTCACGTGGTCACAAAGAATTCTAAAAAAAACAGCACAGCATTGCAGGATCGCCACAAAACACATTTGAGTGTCACTCGATGTACATCGGACTGAGTTGTGCGATGTGCTCCGAACATAATTTCTCTCATCCATCGAGCCAGGTTGGTTGGCTCCTCTCTTCCAAAAAAACGTGCAAAGCCAGGCTGGACAGGTTCATCAGATTTCATTCGTCGACAAACGGCGTGGCCACAAAAAAACTGAAAGGATTCAATGATTGTGACTGCACCAAAACTCTAAACCGATAACTCTGTTTAAAGAAACATATGAAGGTCGATGAAGGTTAAGTTCTACAACTGTTCAATTTGATTCCCTAACAATGTGGAACGAGGTGCACGCAAAATGATCGACATATATGTGACATATTATATTCAGTGCAGCTAGCCTAGACTTTACAGAATACTGAGTTTGTACTCAGTGGCCCGCGGACCGGTTCACTCAGATTCAAAGAACTGGGCATTCATGCGGTTCAGCATGTTTGAACGGCGTGTCCGGCGTCTCTCATCACGGGCATGGCGGACAGCTGCCTGAATCATAGGTTCTGGAAATCCCCGCTCTCTCAAGTGAGATTCCATGAAGATTGGCAAAGCGGTACTCGGCTCAAAAAAGGATGCATTGTGCTCCTTCATCTCGAACCATTCCTGGTAAATCTCGTCCTCCATCAGTTCCAGCTTCTCCGACATGGGAAGCAGGTTGGCTTGCTGCTTCGTGAGAGGGACGATGTAGTCAAAGCTCATGAAAATGCCATCCTCGGTGGTGAAGAAATTCTGTGAATCAGGATCAGGATTCTGATTCCGCATCTCAGCAGCAGGCCTTTTGGAAGGACGACCAGAAGGTCGCTTCTTTGGGCTTGTGGTGGAGGACGCTGCCTTTTGCATCGATGCTCGAGATGCGGCTGGCTTCTTGCAAGGTCCCTTGGGCTTGGCATGTTGCTTGGGAACCTTCTTAGACTTGGATCCCTTGGCTCCTCCACCTTTGGTCTTGCTTCCAGGCGAGGCAGGAAGAGGTTCCATGCTTCCCCCAGCGCTTGCTCCACCTTTGGCAATGCCTCCTTTGGAGACAGAAGGTGGTCCGGCCTCCACTGGTAGTGATGTCCCCTCCGTAGCCAAAGCGAATTTGAAAGGGGATGATGTCGAGTCTGGACTTGCACTTTTCGAAGATCCTTGCGTGGCTGCCACTGGCAACGGGCTTCCGGGAGGTGACGCTCCCAAGATGAGAGTAGTTGCCTGGGATGCTGATGCCATGAGAAGAAATCGGGCGAAGTGCAAATCTGCAATGCTGCTCAATCAGTCTGGGTGATGGCCGCGGTCCAAGTACAAATCGAAGCTTGACATAATGTCGGAATGCATCCAAAGAATGTCCGTCAAAGCATACAAAACTGGCGTCTGTGACTCAAGAAAAGTCAACCATTCGGGTGTGAAAATAAGGGTTGACCCTTGGGTGTGAGAATAAGGGTTGACTATCAGAATACGCTTGGGGGAAGCTCGAGTCTACCCTTATTTCTCCACCCAAGAGTCAACCCTTATTTCCGGCTTAAGGGTAGACTTTCCTGATCAGAAAGTCGGTCCCTTTTTTGGCTTTGTGAAGGCCTTCTTCTATCTTTTTATCTTATTTTTTAGAAATATATTATCATATCTCTCCACCATCTTGCTCAACTTCATCCGCTTTCTTGTTTTCAAATGCCCAGATCAAATCAAGTAAGCTGTTGTCACGCACTTGCATCAAGCCCTTCATCAGGCTTGTGAATCTGAATTCAGAGATGGCGCAGGGCAACATCAAAGTCCTTCAAACCCTCCCAAAACACACAAAGTCAAATCTAGAGAAAACATCTCAAACAAACAATATGCTGCTAGATCTTGCTAGCATGGTCTTAATAACAAACCAAACCTTGGGCACAAACAACACAAAAGTCGTTGCAGAAAAGGTGCAGAAGTTCAATTAGACACAGAGTTGGATTCATGAACGAACCTTGATGCCCAGCTTTGTTCTTAGCTCTTTGCTAAGGTTGTTGTGGTCCATGGCTGTGCTACCAACCCCTAGACAAAGCCATTCCACTAGCTGATCAACCCTAGTCTCTGTATCACTGTTTGCGCCAATGATACAATGGCACTCTTTGTGCTGGGAGCACAACGCCTTGTACGTGGCTGACTTCGAATTCGAAAGCAAAGATATCTTTCCCACCAATGTGCCAACGCTTTTCGATGGTTGGAAAAGCCGAACATCATAAAGGACGTTCCCGTGCCTGAAGTTCTTGTAGGCACGAAGAACCAAGGACGATCCATCAGGAAGCTGCTTCAAGGTAGTGTTCACTATAGAAGGCACTGTCGGTGTAGGCAATGATGTTGAACTTGCACTTGCACCTGCGCTCGCTTCTTGCTGTGATGACGTCAGCAAATCGAGCACATCACTCCTTTGCCTCATTTGGTTTTGCTGTTGATCACTGCCAGGGATATCAGAATCATTGACACTGACGGAAGTGGCCGTGTCTTTGTCCGCATCTGTAAATGTGGATATTTCAGCTGAGACTTCCTCATCTGACTCATCAAAGTCACACTCGATCTCTACCTTACTCGAATGCTGCTCTTGGCATGCACCAACAGCTTCCAACAACGATTTCGCTGCTTGATGGTCCAGGGTTTCAGCAACACTTGCATCTCCCACAGCTTTGATCAAAGCGCGACTCTGATTCTCCTTTGGCAAAAGGAGATCCTCTGCTGGAAAGAAAGAGGACGTGTCGACAATCTCGTTCTCGCTGCATTGTTCTGCCAGGAACTCTTCAACGATAGCTTTCCTGATCTTCGCGCTTGACTTGGGGATTGCCGTCGATGATTTGCAGGAGTTTTTCTTGGAATCCCTGCATGCATCAACACACACCAGGTCAAGTAAATCCACAGCAGAGCTGTGCTTCACTTTGGATTTCTTTGGAGGAGGAAGCTTGTTCACGCCAGGCTCGCAAGGAACCACCGTCTCTTCATTCATTTTGATGCATATTGGCAGGAAACTACCCCAGATTCCGATGACCTTCACCCGGCTCAAGGTAATGTTTTCGAAAGCCAGGCGCTCAATTCTAACTTCCTCTGGTTGCACATCCAAAGCATCACCACAGCTACAAACAATGTGCACAGCAAACTCGTCTTGGTTCATGTGCTGCAATGGTCCCACTGGCAAAGAATGTGATGCGAACGGAACCGATGATGGAATGTAAGGCAACGATTGCAAATCAAGCACAATAGAATCTTCCTCAGCTACCACAATTATTTGGCACAAAGCAAAGACTTGTCTGGCTTGATGAGGGCCACTGACGGCAGCTGGCGCAAGCAACCAAGCATAAGTATCTCTTTCAATCTTGTCAGATCCGACAATGCTGCAACAAAGGAGTATGGGCTCTTTTGCAGCATCACTTATAGGCCCACATGCTGAAACCAAAGAGACGAAGGATTGCTTGATACGGGAAACAAAAGCAGTGTAGTGCATATCATTAGACAACCTGCAGAAGTTTCCACACCACCCTTCATAGCGAACTGTCTTGGGAAAGGCAAAGTCAGCAGGCGCAATTGCAAACCTTTGTGATTGTTTGTCGAAGTTTGCCAAAGAATCTGCCCATCTGATACCCCTTTTGACGTTGTCGCGCCAAGACCTTTCCAACAAGGACTCTGATAGGACACTGGCTTCGCTTGCCTCATTCCAAGCAAATCTGCAGCGGAGGAACTTGCTTGAGACATCTCGGCCAATGTGTTGTGGATGCTGTTGCACAGGACAGGTAGGTCAGCATCTCTCTCCAAAACCTCTGCACTCAATATCCAAGGATTCATCGGCCATGCTGTCCCATTCGCAGATGGCTGCTGCGGCAAGCAAATGACAGATTCATCCACAGCTGCTCGGCCTGAAGCCACATGCTGACACGTCTCTTTCTGGTCCTGCAATGCTGAATTGCCCTGCTGCTGGGTGCAGTGCTGGATGGTTGAAGAGGCTTTAGACGCTCTTTTGTAGCTTGCTTCCAACTCAGACTGCTTTGAAAGCTCTTCGTAGTACGCTTTCCTGTCTTCATTCAACTTGGAAAACTCACTTTTGAGCTCTCTCCAGAATTCTTTTGATGCTGGGTTGCAAACACCATCCTTTCCAAGCAGTGCTTGTTTGGATTTAATCCAGTCATCACGAAAGAACATGTAGGCTGGTTTTTCCGGATTTGCCTCTCCTTGGCTTGGACGAGAATGCCGCTGGTACTGCTTTGTTCTGGACGCTTGCTCCCATGTTCTTGTGGCTGAATGTGAGATAGTGCCTCTTGTTGGGCATCTCGCTTGAGACAGCCAAACTCTTGATTGATGTGCTTGGCGACAATCGTAGAAAAAGGTCTGTCTGCCCAGTGTTTGGACAAGGCATGCTTGCACTCCACGTCTGCAATGGAAGTTGAAATCATTCGTGCAACGCCCGTAAAGAAATCCTGCCATGTCCTCAGCACGGTAAGAGATGTACCAATGTCAGAAATCTCCAATGACTTGACCCTAGGCCCTAGGCACACAAAATATGGCGCCCCACACACACACGCAATTTGATATATTATAATATAATAATATATACGTAAAAATGCTAAATGCAGGCATAGTATCCTAACATATCATATCATCATTTAGTCATAGTCACAGTTTACATGTATTTTCTATTATTAGATAGATTTAGTTTAAACTATATAATACAATATATATATATATTATATACTGTTGGACTATTATATAAATAGAGTTGGAGTATCAATCTGAATATAACATTCTGATCGAATCGTATGCAGCACGTTGCATCATTTGCTGAGACCCCACTAAGGGCTGAGCATACGCAGAAATAGTTCTTTCAAACACGATGTTGTTTGGAATTATACCATTGCGTGACCTGATTCTTCTAAGAAGAATCTACTAGGCCCGACCGTACACTCGCAAAGCGGTTGCAAAACATGCGAACCAAGCTTCTCATTTTTCAAACAGGTTGATGTCACATTCAGCTTCTTCAGTTCACGTGCCAAGCCAGGACGTACGCAACAAGAGCTCACACGATCCCAACGTGAAAGAATAGACTGTTGGACTGCTGGGTCAGCCTGTGGATCAGCCACAACTACCAAGGGCCACGGGAAGTGTTGCCAATAATTGACATGCCTGTGGTAGATCAAAGCTGAGAGATTTAGCAATATGTGTCTCACATACTCTACCTGCGCAGGAAATGAACTGAACCAGTCTGTGGAAGATCTGCAACTAACTCCCCAAATGAATCTCATGCGACCCCTGCCAGAAGGGTCAACCAACGAATGGGCAATGTTCTGCAGTACGGCATGTACATCACTCTTGCAAGGATTGTAAAGCAGAAACAATGGAATGGTCTCGCCTTTCTTGACTCTGTTCAAGTTCTTCATCCAAAACTCTGTCAAACAGCGCAAAGACTCACCAACAACGAGAAGCACCCGCATAGCAAATTGAGACTCTGAACAGTTCAGAAATTGCTTGCTTCCCAGGTAGCGTTTTCCCTGCACTTGATGAAAGAAAAGACTTTCAACCATCCTGCAATCTGCCTGCTCACTCTCGGTCGTTTCACTTTGAAACTGCAAAGCATTGAAAGCAATGTCAAAGATCCCAGGGAGAAATGCATTGATGAGGATTCCAACCGCAACAAAGTCAAGTGGTTTCCAGAGTTTCGTCCACTTGTTTGAGGGGTTGGAGAGGACGTCAACAGCAAATCTATCAGTGCTTTACTCATTTTGGAAGCACAATCGCCGCGGGATTGACAGTGACGATTTTCTGATTCCTCAGAGCAGTAATTGCAATAGTGCTCAGGTGGGCCAGACGCCCTGCCGTTCCACATGTCCCGAAAAGCCCGAATGTGCCTGTCAAAAGCTGTAGCTCGTTTGGATCCTTCCTGCTGCTGCTGGTGGTGTGATGCTACCAGGTAGTCTACGATTTCAGTCATGAGAGGATCTGGTTGAAGGGCTTGCGTGTCACTGAACTCATGTACTTCCAGATGTTCCAATATCCACTCTTTCAGAGCCAGTTGAAGGCGAAGAACATAACCAAGATTGGCCAGAAATACGCTAAGCTGGTACAACTTTGAAAGCAAATTCCCTTGGATCAAACTCATCATTGACACCGTGATCAAATGGGTTGCATGGTTTTGGCATCTGACTGCATCCACGAACACACCACCCTTGCCTGGATTGTACTTGTCCTGTGTCAAGCAAAACGCATGAAATCGCTCGTCGCTGTACGCGCCGTCAACCTCGTGCAAATGGCATGGAATTTTGGCAAGGCTGAACATCTCGGTCAGAAGTTGGTCCATGAACGCGTAACTGGGGTGGAAATGGATACCCTTGTACAAGTTCTCGGCCGATGCACTGATCATTGGTATAGGAGGAGATGCCTTTGTAGGGCCCCCAGTGCGACAATAGTTGTTAATGGTACTATAGACTAGTATTATTAAGTATGAAGTTATAGTCATAGTCATAGGTAGCTACAAGACATAGTGAGGTGATATGCTTCGAGAAAAAACACGTACTTTGAAAACGCGTTTATTGATCTCCATTTAAAGAACTACAAAACTTCTGGCAACATCCATGTTGCCACTGAAAACTCAATGGCGCAACTGGCCCATGTCAGTCTGATCTGCGTGCGCACAACCATCATTGACCACGTCGATCGGACTGGCGCATTCGTCCCACCAGGAGAAAGTCTGGTTGACACCGTTGCCTCATCCCACTTCCTGTGCCTCAAGAACACAGCGCAATCGAGGTGAAGGTGAAAGTCGTTCGCAGCCTGTATGCTGTATTCTGTACTATGTTTTCTGATGTTTTTTGTATTGTCTTATGTTTGTGCCAATTATGTTTGTATGTTGTATATTATACTATTTATACTACAGTATATACAGTTTAAATATACTGACTGACACTACGTTGCCTGGTTTGTGATTCTGATTGCTCAAAACAGTCCCGTAACAATGCCCTGGAGCAAAACCAATCACATTCCTAGAGGTAAATCAATCAAAACCCCTTGCATGGGAATTACAAAAGAAACAGAAAAAGATAGAAAAAGACAAGATCGCTGTGTTGCAAAAGTGCTGTTGTTGGCGGACTCTTCCGGCAATAGCAAAGGATTTTGCAAAGCAGCTTGGTTTGGGCGCCCATACAAAGACTGGCGCACGTCTTTTGCAGCTTGGGAATAGTACTGGGATTCAAATTTAGCCGTGCGGCCAGAGCAACATTAGAGGCTCCAGGAGAAAAAGAAGCTTCTAAGAAATGGCTGTAGTGTATCTTTCGCTGAAATCTGTTGCCCTTTTTTCATTGCCTTTGCAAAGTCAAAAGGATCCCACCTCCTCGCTGCTTGGCGTCTACCAAGAAGCACTCACCCTTCTTTCGGAAAGTGCTACCGCGAAGCGTCGACCAAATGGTTTGCATCTTGCCATGCTGCCTTCTGGCTGCCTTCACAGTCCGCATGTGCAAAGACAGCATGCTGCGCTCCATGAGGGAACCATGCCGACCAAGGCCTACCTTCCCTTTCATGGAAACAGGCTTGAAACCAAACTTGTTTGCTTCAGATTGGGTCACCTCAGGCTGGCTGACTGGGCACACTTGATTTTGATGGTCATTTCCATCACTCTGCCCAGCACAAACAACAGCCGTGTCATCACCGATGACCAAACTGAGCAAATCGGTCATGCTGCCAGATTTGAACCACACTGGCTATGTTCAAAGTTTGTCGCTTGCAGCATAGCAAACATAAGTGCCAATTTGCCTCCGCGTCTCTTGATTACAAAAGAACAAACACGCGACTGGCGAGTGAATCCCGTGGGAAAAGGTACATCAGGCAAATGACATCAAACAGCACACGTGACCAATTGAGCGACATCATCCTTCAGTTCGAGGGCCCACTAAGGCCACAAAAATAATGGTTGACTTTGTTCCTAAAGGTTGAAAAAATACTGGTTGACTTTGCTTCTAAGGACAGAAAATAAAGGTTGACTTTAGGGTTGACTTTCTTCAAAACAAGGCTCTAGTACGCGCTAGTTACGGTCTACTTTGGGAATAGTCAAGGGTTGACTACTTCAGCACCAGCAGTGCCCATATGCCGAGGGATGATTCCTAAAGAAAGGATGTCAGTTACTGATAGAAGCAGCCTATAACATAAATCCTAATACGACTAAGCGAGCTTTCGCTTTCCTACGACGGGGGTCGTCGCTCTCTTTCCAGGTCAATACCCATCTGGATCTAAGGATCTGCTCGGGGTTGAGTTTCTGCCTAAGGATAGGCCTGATTGCGTTGGTTTGCAACCAACACGATAGCTCAAGATCCTTTGCTGCAACAAACAACACTGTTTTTCTTCATGGGACAATTTCTGAAGCTGAACCTCTGCTCTTGCCCGCTTGCCAGCTGTCGCTACATGTGCCATTTGCTCGGGGTTGTCTTCAGATGCCCAGGCTATTAAATCCTTATCGGTAAGGGGAATCTCTAGGGCAAATCCTTCTTCTTCTGTCGGCTGGAGGGTTTCAGCGACGAAGGCAAACCCATCGTCGGCCAGGAGGCATGAGTCTCCTGCCTCGCCGAACATGGCTGTTTCGCATGTCACGAGGTTCGGTGACATATGGTCGATTGGTTCAGCGAAATCGTTTGAAAGGCATTGAATGAGCAGTCCTACTTCAGTCTCCATGAAAGCAGCTTGATCCATCAGTTGTTCTTCATCATTTTCTTCTACCGGAGGGTCTGGATCAAGATCAATGGCTTCTCCCATGACTCGAGTGTCTTCTTCATTCAAAGGCTGGCTTGCCGTTGAAGGCGGGAGTTCTGGCACTTCGAGCGGGATATTCGGGGTAATTTCTCTTTCGGGTTGGGCATCAGGTGTTGGTGGAACTGACAGGCTTGTGCGATGTGGTTGAAGTGACCGAAAACGAGTATCGGCATCTACGGCAGTTCCTCGAGAATTGGCAGGATTATCTGTCAATGGAGTCGGGTTTGCGGATGTTTGATTTTGGTTCCATTCTCTTAGGGACATGGGCCTAAGGTCCTCTGGAGGACATCTGATAACACGGTTTTGGTGACTTAGCCATACAGTGGATTGTCCCTCTTGTTGAATGACACGCGCTGGACTATACCACCGGCCACTTTCACCTCGAGAGACATTCTTTCTACGGAACCAGTACATGACCGACTGTCCTGGATGGAAAGGTCCTCGAACAGGGCAGGATCTTCGCAACAGAGCCCTTCGAATTGCTTGATGGTTATCAGCGTCTAAAAAGGCTATTCGTGCTTCATTTCGTCTAGTTAGAGTTTCATGGAACTTTGACGTTTCTGGGTTGTCATCTTGTAACGTGTGTGCACTCGTGGTTTCATCTCCAGTGAGCGATCCTGGCATTCGAGTCGCCTTGCCAAGGACAATCTGTTCTGGCGAATAGCCCTTGTGTCGAGCCATCTGGTTCTTGGCCACGCAACACGCCGCGAGGGTCCTATCGAAATCTTGGAGATCTCGAATCATGCGGTCTTGGTCCACACGGTGCAACATCTGCTTCAAAACTTGCCCGTCTCTTTCAATGCGACCCTTTTGCCAGGCTTCAGAGGACATGAATGAGGTGATGCTATTTGCTTGGAGAAAATCCATCCACACCTGAGAGGTGAATTCACCTGCAGGATCAGCATACACGTGAGTGGGTGCTCCGGCCCATGACATCCAAAAGTCCTGAAACAGTGAGGTGGTATCTTCTGCGGTACGAGAGGTTGTCCTTTTGGCTAACTGAAAGGTTGAACATTCATCGACACAGTGAATCATATACACTTGGAAACCCGCCCGACCTTTCCAGAAAATGCCGTCTAAACCCACTACGTCATTGAAGTCTTTGGGGTCATGAAGCTTTCCGGGACGTTGATGTTTGACTTGAATGGACTCAAGACATGCATCACATGCGTATTCAAGGGCAGCCTCAATTATCGCAGGGTCAGCCTTCTGTGCAATCAAGTGGGCTTTCAGCTTGATGGGATCTGGATGTCCTAGGTTCTTATGTAGTTTCACAAGTTCTTGTTTTTGAACACTTGAGAGTCTTCTAAAAGCTGGACCATGAATCGGTGTCGGCGGAGGTGCCCAACCTTCGGGAATGGATAGTTGTTTACCTAGTTCTTGTTCTGATTGAGGTACCGCTATATGTCTGTCTGTGTATCGGGGGTCTACTGCTGGCACATCTCGGAACGTTTGCTCTTCATCTGGCGTTCCTGCAGGTGGACGTTCATGTTCATGTGACTCATGCGACCGTGGAGCTCTCTCAGCGAGGCTATCGGATCGACGGCCGAAAGCTGTGAGCGTCAAGCGACTAGGAACGCTGGCACGGATCTTCTGAGCACGAGTGAGGTTCGACCAATTGTCTTCACCCATGTCCAACAGTTTCAGCGTTTGACGATGGAGACACCAGGTATGTCGAACGTCTGCTTCACTAGTTGATGGGGAATCTAACGGGACCTGAAATCTTTCGGTGCCTCGGCAAACAAAAAGATGTGTCCATTGAATCTGTGGATTGATCTCTCGAAATGCAATGAATGTGGGGTCGTCGAGCTGTATCTTTCGGTTCCCTACCCTTGGTGCCAACCTATGAGCGTCCTGAAATATGCGTTTCCAAACATCATGCTGTTCCGGTGGAACCTCATCTCCAAAAGAGAGAACGTCAGGCCTCAGGGTCAGCGTGGATGGGTGAAAGACATCATCAACGCGACGTCTCTTGCTTACCGGTTCTCCCTCGATGTCCTGATGAGCAAAAGCCTTGTTTGGATGATAGTTAACAGGATCATCTACAGTGTCTAGGATCACACGGGCCACTTTGTTGGCAAACCCCTTACAATAGGTTGCACAAAAATTGGATAGTTTGAGGCCTCCCGTTGGTGTTGTATAGGATCCTGCAATCGACACATGTTGATGCGTTTGAGGGCATTTTCTATCATGTAAGTGGCTTTGAACAAACTCGGATGTGGACAGCAGGTGACTTCGTTTCCTAAGAAACAGTTGTGTGTTTGGAATCCTCAGTCCGAATGCACACATGTCCAGGTGAATCGGCAAGGTCAACTTCTGCATGGCTTGTCCGTGGGAAGTGGCAAAGGCATCAGAGCCCAGTGGATGTTCAAAATGAAAATGACGGCCATGTCGACGCTGGTACTGGCACAAATCCAGGCATAGCTTTAGATGTTTTCCTTGATCAAATCTTGATTGCATGACATGTTCAAATGACCGTGTACTGCGATTCAGATTGAATCGGCTCCATCCTCCCCACGGGCCACACTCCGGAGAACACCAGATATGCTCTGGTTGCCAGTGCTCAATCAGTTCCCACAGCTTTCGCTTGCCTGTGAAGGTTGAGAGGTCTCCATCTTGAAATGT